AGAGCCTAGGTCAATCAGAGACTAGGTCAACCAGAGCCTAGGTCAATCAGAGCCTAGGTCAATCAGAGCCTAGGTCAATCAGAGACTAGGTCACCCAGAGCCTAGGTCAATCAGAGCCTAGGTCAATCAGAGACTAGGTCAACCAGAGCCAAGGTCAATCAGAGCCTAGGTCAATCAGAGACTAGGTCAACCAGAGCCTAGGTCAATCAGAGCCTAGGTCAATCAGAGCCTAGGTCAACCAGAGCCTAGGTCAACCAGAGCCTAGGTCAATCAGAGTCTAGGTCAATCAAAGAGTAGGTCAACCAAAGCCTAGGTCGATCAGAGCCTAGGTCAATCAGAGTCTAGGTCAACCAGAGCCTAGGTCAATCAGAGCCTAGGTCAATCAGAGACTAGGTCAACCAGAGCCTAGGTCAATCAGAGCCTAGGTCAATCAGAGACTAGGTCAACCAGAGCCTAGGTCAATCAGAGCCTAGGTCAATCAGAGACTAGGTCAACCAGAGCCTAGGTCAATCAGAGCCTAGGTCAACCAGAGACTAGGTCAACCAGAGCCTAGGTCAACCAGAGCCTAGGTCAACCAGAGCCTAGGTCAACCAGAGCCTAGGTCAACCAGAGCCTAGGTCAATCAGAGCCTAGGTCAATCAAAGACTAGGTCAACCAGAGCCTAGTGTCAGGAAGGGGGAGGAAGAACCATTGAATTCATTAGGAGAGAGGGAGGTATACATAGTAGTGCTAGGGGGGGAGGGGTTGGTTGGGAACCAAGCCAACATTATTGGCCCCCACCAATAAGTTGGGTTGAGGGATGATTGGGGGGACCAATAATGTTGACCAAGTTGGTTCAACATTATTGGGGGGGACCAATAATTCCCAACCCAACCTTGGGGCCAAGGTTGGAGATCCAACCCCCAACTAGGGTTAGCCCTAGTTCTACACCCAAACTAAGTTTGGGTGGCTATCTCTGGCCTAAGCTTATAGGATTGATGTAGGTTACAATGAGGATGGTAATCTGACACAACCCCTTAACCTACAGAAATCCATAAGCTAGGTAAGAGAGAGAGTAACAACCCCTGAGTCAGCCACCGCGGGGAGCAAGTCCCTGGAGACGCAAAAGCGCAGAATGGTCGGAGCGGTGGAGAGCCTTGGTGAAGAGATCGGCGAGGTTGTCGGAGGAGGCGATTTTGCGAACGGTGAGGTGACCATCTTGGACAAGGTCGCGAACAAAGTAGTAGCGAAGCTCGATGTGTTTAGAGCGACCATGAAAAACTGCTTCCTTGGTGAGGTGGATGGTACTGTCGTTGTCATACCACAGGGTGGGGCGGGGCTGGGGAGAGCCAAGGTCGGTGAGCAGGTAGCTGAGCCAACGTGCTTCTTGAGCCGCCATCGTGACCGCGTACAGTTCGGCTTCGCAGGATGAGAGGGCAACGGAGGAGGAGCGGGTGGAGCGCCAACTGATGAGGCCGCCCCCAAGTGTGAAGCCATATCCCTGAGAGCTGCGACGGTCGGGCTGTGCGTCGGCCCAAGATGAGTTGCTGAAGCCTTGAAGAATGGGCGGATTCACACCACCCAGAGTGAGGACATGGTCCTTCGTGCCTTGAAGGTAGCGAAGAACACGCATGGCCGCCTTCCAATGCTCTTCACCATGCCTGCCGGTGCCAACGAACTGCGCCAGAACACTGACTGGGTATGCAAGGTCGGGACGAGTGCAGACCATGGCGTACATCAGGGCCCCAACAAGTTCTGCGTAGGGATGAGGGGAGGTGACGGGAGTGGTGGGAGGGGCGAGCTGATGCCCGAATGCAAGTGGTGTGGGGATGGGTTTGCAGGTTGTCATGCCAAACCTCTCAAGAATCTTCTCGATGTAAAATGACTGAGAGAGGGTGATGGTCTTGGCAGTGAGGTCGCGAGTGATCTCCATGCCGAGGTAGTTGCGAACCTCCCCTAGGTCCTTGCAGGCAAGGCGTTTCTGCAGCGCATCCTTGACCTCCTGTAGGTCAGCAGTTGTGTCAGCGGCCAGCAGCATGTCGTCGACGTAGACGAGGATGAAGAAGGGTGATGGGGTGAGGCGCAGGAAGAGGCATGAGGCGGCACGGGAGGGGCGAAAGCCAAGTGCGCGAAGGGTGGAGGAGAGTTTGGCGTGCCATTCCCGAGGTGCTTGTTTGAGCCCGTAGACAGGACGTAGCAGCTTCCAAACAGTGGTAGGGTCGTGAGGAGCATGGAAGCCTTTGGGACGTTCCAGGAAAATGAGCTCATGAAGGTCGCCTTGCAGAAAGGCGGTGGTGACGTCCATGGAGTGAAGAAGCATCCCACGTCTGCCAACAAAGTCCAAAAACACGCGAATGACCGGTGGAGTGGCGGTGGGTGAGTAGGTCTCGAAGAAGTCTGAGCCATAGGTCTGTGTGAAGCCTTTTGCCACATATCGAGCCTTGTACACCAGAGCGTTGCCAGGGAGTAGTTTGACTCGAAAAAGCCACCTGCCTTGGACCACGTTGTGCTTTGAGGGACGAGGGACGTCGATAAACGAGCGGTTGCTGATGAAGGCGTTGCTCTCCTTGACCATGGCCTCGATCCAGAGAGGTGCATCAAGGCAGGCAAGTGCTTGCTCATAGGTGGTGGGTTCGTAGATGGTGGGGGTGGTGGAGAAGAGAAGAACAGTGGTGCCAGCCATTGTGCGGACGACGGGGGCGACGGTTGGTGAGAGGAGGTGGAGGAACATTAGCTCATCATGAGAATCCTCAGTGAGGTCCGGAGTGAGAGGAGGAGGAAGAGGAGGCGGTGAAGTTGCAAGACAGCTGCGCTGGTGGGTCGGGCTGATGCGGGGACACAGATGCACTGGTGCTCTGCTGCGCTGAGGGTCGGGGCGAGGAGACAGCTGCATTGCAGCTCGGCTTCGCTGGGTTGCCGTGAGGGGCAGAGAGACGGGAGCGCGACTGCTGAGAGAACCTGAGGTGCTGGTGCGGGGGGGAGGGGAGGTGCTATGGTGGCGGAGAAGGGGGATGGATGTGAGAGACTGGAGGGAGGGGGGGGTGGACCTGGGGGTACCAAGAATGGGGACCGTGGAGCGGGTGTGAGGGTAGTGGCGGAGTATGAGAGGGGGAGTGGGAAGTAGGGGCCGTGAGGACGGAGGTGGAGTGAGTGGGGGAGGGCGTGGGGAGGGGGGAGGCGGGGGATGTTCTGCACAAAGGGACGGAGGGGAAGGAGGGGGGGGGAGGGGCAGCGGGTGGGGAGGAAGGGGGAGGGGCAGCGGGTGGGGAGGAAGGAGGAGGGGAAGCGGATGGGGAAGGAGGGTGGACGGGGTCAAGGATGTCTCCTGACGAGGCGGGGGGAGAGGGGGGAGGGGGTGCAGGGGGGACAATGGTGGGGGGGGGGGAGAAGGGAAGGGGAGGGGAGAGGGGGTGGGGGGGGAATGGTGTCAGTCCAGAGGAAGGGACGGGTGGTTAGAGGGAGGGGGTTAGGGGCTTTGGGGGAGGTGTAGTACGGGTGGGCTTCATCGAATTCCACATCCCGACTACGAATGAGGCGACCAGAGGGGGGATGGAGGAAGAGATAGTCCGGGGAGGAGGTGTTGTGACCAAGGAAAATGCAGGGGAGAGTGCGGGAGGCTAGCTTTCCAGCTTTGCGTGAGCGGTCGGCAGGGTGTATGAGAACATACGCCATGGAACCCCACACGCGCAGGGGGGTGATGTCGGGCTTTTTGGATGTCCAGAGTGCGGTGGGAGTGGTGGTGGGCCGGGAGGGATGAGGGTACAAGTTAGTGAGGATGGCAGCGTGGAGGATGGCATAGCCCCAGAGAAAGGGCGGGCAGGAGGCATGGACCATGAGGCACCGAGCAGTTTTGGTGACCTCACGGACCCTACTCTCCGCCACGCCATTCTGCTGAGGGGAATGAGGTAGGGTGTGGGTGTGAATGATACCACGAGTGGTGCAGTAGGATGAGAGCATGTTGTTAAGGAACTCACCACCGCCATCAGAGTGGAAGCGCGAGACAGGCCGTTTGAAATGGGTGCGTGCTTGTTCAGCCCAAGCAATAATAGCAGCCGGGGCCTCCGCCTTCGTGCGAAGGAGGGAGACGGAGGAGTAGCGGCTGTGGTCATCCACCAGGATGAGCAGGTATTTATGACCTTGTCTGGTGGGGGAAGGGTTGGGGCCCCAGAGGTCCATGTGGACGAGATCAAGAGGCTGGGGAGAAAAGGAGGGATGACTCTTGTGGGGGGCCTGTTTCAGTTTGCTTTCGACGCAGACTGAGCAGGGAGGGGAGGGTGATGGGGGGAGAGGGGGAAGGGTGAGGGGGAGTCCGTCAAGGAGTTGGGTGGAGACGGTTTGACGGAGGGTGGCAAAGTTGGGATGACCCAACCTGTGGTGAAGGAGAACTGCGGGGTGGGTGAGGTCACGACAGTGACAGGAGGAGGAGGAGGTGGGGGAGGGGGGGGGGGGAGGGGAGGGGAGGAGGGGGGAGGGGATGGGGGAGGGGATGGGAGGTGGGGAGGGAGGGGGGAGCGGAGGTGAGGGGAGGGGAAGGGGTGAGGTGGGGGCGATGAGGTGGTGAATGGAGGTGCGAGGGGTGCGGTACGTGTACAGATTTGTGCGAGGGCAGAGGGGAATGCGACAGATGAAGTGACCAGTGGTGGTTTGAAAGAGGTCGCAGTGGCGTGCATGACCGGGGAAGAGGGCGGTGATATTGAACCTGGTGAGGTCACACAGTGCTACCAGATTGTTGCGTAGGGAGGGGATGTATAGACCTGTGACTGTACCTGAGGGGAAGATGGGACAGGGGAGGGTGGAGGTGTGACTACTTGTGATGGTGAAGCTGGAGTCAGCTCCGTGGATAGTGGAGGGAGTGGGGAGGGGTACCAGTGTGCCTGCATCACGCAGAACAGTGTGTGTCGCGCCACTGTCAAGGATAAACTCAAGGCATGAAGAGGAGGAGGAAGAGGCGGAGTACTGGAAGAGAGACTCATTAATAGCATGTGCATACATAGAATCAGCAGGAGGAGTGCTAACATGTCCTATGAATCCAGCAGAGGGGAATGGAGTAAAGCCAGGAGGGTTGGAGGAGGAGGATGGTGGTTCAGCAGGAGTGGCAGCGTGTCCAATAGGTGCATGACCATATCCAGGAGGTGGGTAAGGAGGGTAAGGCCAGCCAGCATAGGGTGGAGGGTAGTGAGGGGGAGGGGCTTGAGGCGGAGGTGTGGATGGGGGAGGAGTGGGTGTGGTGGGAGTGGAGGGGAGAAGATGCTGAACTTGTTGAAGGATGTGAGATGGGAGATGCTGAGTGAGGACATTGTGAAGGTTGGGAGTAGAGGGCTGATATGCGGGGAGGGTGCGGATGTCATGAATGGAGGGGCGTGGGAAAACAGTGTTCCAGCAAGGTGGAGTGCCAACGTTGCCACGTGCAAACCACTCGTCCGTGAGGGCTTTGAAGCACGTGTCCGTGGTGTGAGTGGTCTGAGAGCATGGCTGACCTTTGTTGGAGCCATAGCGGATGATGTACTGACACGGGGGGAGGGTGCCTGAAGGTGAGGGATATCCGCCGCGTCCGCCACGGCCACCACTGCGACCACCACCGCGTCCTCCGCCTCGGCCGCCACCACGTCCACCACCACCACCACCGGCGCCACTTGGGCCGCCACCTGTTCCGCTGTTGTGGTTGCCTGTGGTAGCTTTGCGGGTCTGGACAGCATTGACGGTGGCGGAGTCACGTTGAATGTCCGCTTCGCTGTCAAGGAGCCACTCGATGGTGTCAGCCACAGGAGGAGGATGACGGTAGCGAGAGGTGAAGGTGATGCGGTAGGTGTCATATGTGGGAGGGAGGCAGTCAAGGATGCGTGCAGTAAGAAGGGACTCAGAGATGACAATGCCGCGGTCATTGAGGCGTTGCGCAGTGTCAATGAGGCGACGGGTGTAGGCAGCAGCAGTGGGGGAGGAGTCAAGGGTGATGTCTTGGAATTTGCGGAAGAGGGCGAGGAGGGAGCGAAGGTCCTGACGATCGTACTGAGTAGAGAGGGTTTTCCAGAGTCCAGAGGAGGAGGTGGGACGAAGGTCGCGTTTGAGGTGGGAGGGGATGCAGGAGAAGATGATGGCGAGTGCACGACGATCAGCAATGCGCCATGCTGCAACATCCTTGTGGATCTTGCGAAGCTCCTCAGCATAGTCTTTTTCGTCTTGAGCGTAGGAGAGGAGGCGTGTAGTAGCATCAGCGTGTGCTGCTTCCGCAACACGGTGCGCCTCACGCTGGAGGGTGTAAGTGTCGCGAAGCCTGTTGTAAGTGTTCAGGTTGGCCCCCCAGCGATCCGGGTTGTCATCATGAACTGGGGCACGCGGGGGGTCGGGAAGAGGCTCGGGTGGAGGAGGGGCATCAGGGGGAGGAGGTTCAAGGGGAGGGGGGAGTACAGGTGGGAGGCCATTAGGGTGCTCGAGGACGACATCAAGAAGGCAATAATCTTGAATGATGACGGAGCCAAGGTGTGTGTGAAGCGTATCTTCAAACGACGCCCAGTTTACGGCCGTGGTGTCATGGAGAAGTTCGAGCTTGTCAATGGCTCCGAGCTCGATGGGAGTGGAGTCGTCCGCCATGAGGAGGAGGAGGGGAGGGAGTGACGACACCGGCTTGAGGGCGGGTGCGGTCAAAGAGGACGACACCACTTGGAAGGGTGGTGCGGTCACGTAACGTATGGTGGCGCCGGGTTACTCGCAGCTGCGTTTGTGTCGCCCGTGATTGCGCCTCGTGGCCCGCGGGTGCGCGTCCGTCCGCGGATGCGCCTCGTCGCTCGCGGGTGCGCGTTCGCCCGCGGATGCGCCTCGTCGCCCGCGGGTGCGCGTCCGTCCGCGGATGCGCCTCGTCGCCCGCGGATGCGCGTCCGTCCGCGAATGCGCCTCGTCGCTCGCGGGTGCGCGTCCGTCCGCGGATGCGCCTCGACGCCCGCGGGTGCGCGTCCGTCCGCGGATGCGCCTCGTCGCCCGCGGGTGCGCGTCCGTCCGCGGATGCGCCTCGTCGCCCGCGGGTGCGCGTCCGTCCGCGGATGCGCCTCGTCGCCCGCGGGTGCGCGTCCGTTCGCGGATGCGCCTCGTCGCTCGCGGGTGCGCGTCCGTCCGCGGATGCGCCTCGACGCCCGCAGTGCGCGTCCGTCCGCGGATGCGCCTCGTCGCCCGCGGGTGCGCGTCCGTCCGCGGATGCGCCTCGTCGCCCGCGGGTGCGCGTCCGTCCGCGGATGCGCCTCGTCGCTCGCGGGTGCGCGTCCGTCCGCGGATGCGCCTCGACGCCCGCAGTGCGCGTCCGTCCGCGGATGCGCCTCGTCGCCCGCGGGTGCGCGTCCATCCGCGGATGCGCCTCGTCGCCCGCGGGTGCGCGTCCGTCCGCGGATGCGCCTCGTCGCCCGCGGGTGCGCGTCCGTCCGCGGATGCGCCTCGTCGCCCGTGGGTGCGCGTCCGTCCGCGCATGCGCCTCGTCACCCGAGGTAGCGCGTCCGTCAGCGGAAATCCGCCGCGGTGGTCGCGTCCGCCCTCGTCGGCGGAATGCACCGCAGTGAGGGAGGAGAGGGGAGGGGGGGGGGGGGGAGCGGGCTGCCGATCGCAATCTCTTGCGGGGGAGGCACGGGAACGTGCGTGAGTGCAAGGGGGGAGGGGGGCCGTGAAGGCGTACTAGCGCAACTTAAGCGCGAGTGAGAGAGGGGGGCGTGATACGGCACGCGTTAAGTGTGGTTCTTAGGATCGAGAGACGGTGTTAACCGTTGTAGCTCTGATTACCATGTCAGGAAGGGGGAGGAAGAACCATTGAATTCATTAGGAGAGAGGGAGGTATACATAGTAGTGCTAGGGGGGGAGGGGTTGGTTGGGAACCAAGCCAACATTATTGGCCCCCACCAATAAGTTGGGTTGAGGGATGATTGGGGGGACCAATAATGTTGACCAAGTTGGTTCAACATTATTGGGGGGGACCAATAATTCCCAACCCAACCTTGGGGCCAAGGTTGGAGATCCAACCCCCAACTAGGGTTAGCCCTAGTTCTACACCCAAACTAAGTTTGGGTGGCTATCTCTGGCCTAAGCTTATAGGATTGATGTAGGTTACAATGAGGATAGTAATCTGACACCTAGGTCAATCAGAGCCTAGGTCAATCAGGGACTAGGTCAACCAGAGCCTAGGTCAGTCAGAGCCTAGGTCAATCAGAGCCTAGATCAATCAGAGACTAGGTCACCCAAAGCCTAGGTCAATCAGAGCCTAGGTCAATCAAAGACTAGGTCAACCAGAGCCTAGGTCAATCAGAGCCTAGGTCAATCAGAGACTAGGTCACCAGAGCCTAGGTCAATCAGAGCCTAGGTCAATCAGAGCCTAGGTCAATCAGAGCCTAGGTCAATCAGAGACTAGGCCACCCAGAGCCTAGGTCAATCAGAGCCTAGGTCAATCAGAGACTAGGTCAACCAGAGCCTAGGTCAATCAGAGCCTAGGTCAATCAGAGACTAGGTCAACCAGAGCCTAGGTCAATCAGAGCCTAGGTCAATCAGAGACTAGGTCAACCAGAGCCTAGGTCAACCAGAGCCTAGGTCAACCAGAGCCTAGGTCAACCAGAGCCTAGGTCAACCAGAGCCTAGGTCAATCAGAGCCTAGGTCAATCAAAGACTAGGTCAACCAGAGCCTAGGTCAATCAGAGCCTAGGTCATTCAGAGACTAGGTCAACCAGAGCCTAGGTCAATCAGAACTTAGGTCAATCAGAGCCTAGGTCAATCAGAGACTAGGTCACCCAGAGCCTAGGTCAATCAGAGCCTAGGTCAATCAGAGACTAGGTCAACCAGAGCCTAGGTCAACCAGAGCCTAGGTCAACCAGAGCCTAGGTCAACCAGAGCCTAGGTCAATCAGAGCCTAGGTCAATCAAAGACTAGGTCAACCAGAGCCTAGGTCAATCAGAGCCTAGGTCAATCAGAGACTAGGTCAACCAGAGCCTAAGTCAATCAGAGCCTAGGTCAATCAGAGAATAGGTCAACCAGAGCCTAGGTCAACCAGAGCCTAGGTCAACCAGAGCCTAGGTCAACCAGAGCCTAGGTCAATCAGAGCCTAGGTCAATCAAAGACTAGGTCAACCAGAGCCTAGGTCAATCAGAGCCTAGGTCAACCAGAGCCTAGGTCAACCAGAGCCTAGGTCAACCAGAGCCTAGGTCAACCAGAGCCTAGGTCAACCAGAGCCTTGGTCAATCAGAGACTAGGTCAATCAAAGACTAGGTCAACCAAAGCCTAGGTCAATCAGAGCCTAGGTCAATCAGAGTCTAGGTCAACCAGAGCCTAGGTCAATCAGAGCCTAGGTCAATCAGAGACTAGGTCAACCAGAGCCTAGGTCAATCAGAGCCTAGGTCAATCAGAGCCTAGGTCAACCGGAGCATAGGTCAACCAGAGCCTAGGTCAACCAGAGCCTAGGTCAACCAGAGCCTAGGTCAACCAGAGCCTAGGTCAATCAGAGCCTAGGTCAATCAGAGACTAGGTCAACCAGAGTCTAGGTCAATCAGAGCCTAGGTCAATCAGAGCCTAGGTCAATCAGAGACTAGGTCAATCAGAGCCTAGGTCAATAAGAGCCTAGGTCAACCAGAGCATAGGTCAACCAGAGCCTAGGTCAATCAGAGATTAGGTCACCCAGAGCCTAGGTCAATCAGAGCCTAGGTCAATCAGAGCCTAGGTCAATCAGAGACTAGGTCAACAAGAGCCTAGGTCAACCAGAGCCTAGGTCAATCAGAGACTAGGTCAACCAGAGCCTAGGTCAACCAGAGCCTAGGTCAACCAGAGCCTAGGTCAACCAGAGCCTAGGTCAACCAGAGCCTAGGTCAATCAGAGCCAAGGTCAATCAAAGACTAGGTCAACCAGAGCCTAGGTCAATCAGAGCCTAGGTCAATCAGAGACTAGGTCAACCAGAGCCTAGGTCAATCAGAGCCTAGGTCAATCAGAGACTAGGTCAACCAGAGCCTAGGTCAATCAGAGCCTAGGTCAATCAGAGACTAGGTCAACCAGAGCCTAGGTCAATCAGAGCCTAGGTCAACCAGAGACTAGGTCAACCAGAGCCTAGGTCAACCAGAGCCTAGGTCAACCAGAGCCTAGGTCAACCAGAGCCTAGGTCAACCAGAGCCTAGGTCAATCAGAGCCTAGGTCAATCAAAGGCTAGGTCAACCAGAGCCTAGGTCAATCAGAGCCTAGGTCAATCAGAGACTAGGTCAACCAGAGCCTAGGTCAATCAGAGCCTAGGTCAATCAGAGCCTAGGTCAATCAGAGACTAGGTCACCCAGAGCCTAGGTCAATCAGAGCCTAGGTCAACCGGAGCATAGGTCAACCAGAGCATAGGTCAACCTGAGCCTAGGTCAACCAGAGCCTAGGTCAATCAGAGACTAGGTCACAAGAGCCTAGGTCAATCAGAGCCTAGGTCAATCAGAGCCTAGGTCAATGAGAGATTAGGCCACCCAGAGCCTAGGTCAATCAGAGCCTAGGTCAATCAGAGACTAGGTCAACCAGAGCCTAGGTCAATCAGAGCCTAGGTCAATTAGAGACTAGGTCAACCAGAGCCTAGGTCAATCAGAGCCTAGGTCAATCAGAGACTAGGTCAACCAGAGCCTAGGTCAACCAGAGCCTAGGTCAACCAGAGCCTAGGTCAACCAGAGCCTAGGTCAACCAGAGCCTAGGTCAATCAGGGCCTAGGTCAATCAAAGACTAGATCAACCAGAGACTAGGTCAACCAGAGCCTAGGTCAATCAGAACTTAGGTCAATCAGAGCCTAGGTCAATCAGAGACTAGGTCACCCAGAGCCTAGGTCAATCAGAGCCTAGGTCAATCAGAGACTAGGTCAACCAGAGCCTAGGTCAACCAGAGCCTAGGTCAACCAGAGCCTAGGTCAACCAGAGCCTAGGTCAATCAGAGCCTAGGTCAATCAGAGACTAGGTCACCAGAGCCTAGGTCAATCAGAGCCTAGGTCAATCAGAGCCTAGGTCAATGAGAGATTAGGCCACCCAGAGCCTAGGTCAATCAGAGCCTAGGTCAATCAGAGACTAGGTCAACCAGAGCCTAGGTCAATCAGAGCTTAGGTCAATTAGAGACTAGGTCAACCAGAGCCTAGGTCAATCAGAGCCTAGGTCAATCAGAGACTAGGTCAACCAGAGCCTAGGTCAACCAGAGCCTAGGTCAACCAGAGCCTAGGTCAACCAGAGCCTAGGTCAACCAGAGCCTAGGTCAATCAGGGCCTAGGTCAATCAAAGACTAGGTCAACCAGAGACTAGGTCAACCAGAGCCTAGGTCAATCAGAGCCTAGGTCAATCAGAGACTAGGTCAACCAGAGCCTAGGTCAATCAGAGCCTAGGTCCATCAGAGACTAGGTCAACCAGAGCCTAGGTCAAGCAGAGCATAGGTCAACCAGAGCCTAGGTCAACCAGAGCCTAGGTCAATCAGAGCCTAGGTCAACCAGAGACTAGGTCAACCAAAGCCTAGGTCAACAGAGCCTAGGTCAATCAGAGTCTAGGTCAACCAGAGCATAGGTCAATCAGAGCCTAGGTCAATCAGAGACTAGGTCAACCAGAGCCTAGAACAATCAGAGCCTAGGTCAACCAGAGCATAGGTCAACCAGAGCCTAGGTCAACCAGAGCCTTGGTCAACCAGAGCCTAGGTCAATCAGAGCCTAGGTCAACCAGAGCCTAGGTCAATCAGAGCCTAGGTCAATCAGAGACTAGGTCACCAGAGCCTAGGTCAACCAGAGCCTAGGTCAATCAGAGACTAGGTCAACCAGAGCCTAGGTCAATCAGAGCCTAGGTCAATCAGAGCCTAGGTCAACCAGAGCATAGGTCAACCAGAGCCTAGGTCAATCAGAGACTAGGTCACCCAGAGCCTAGGTCAATCAGAGCCTAGGTCAATCAGAGCCTAGGTCAATCAGAGCCTCGGTCAATCAGAGCCTAGGTCAATCAGAGACTAGGTCAACCAGAGCCTACGTCAATCAGAGCCTAGGTCAATCAGAGACTAGGTCAACCAGAGCCTAGGTCAACCAGAGCCTAGGTCAACCAGAGCCTAGGTCAACCAGAGCCTAGGTCAACCACAGCCTAGGTCAATCAGAGCCTAGGTCAATCAAAGACTAGGTCAACCAGAGCCTAGGTCAATCAGAGCCTAGGTCAATCAGAGACTAGGTCAACCAGAGCCTAGGTCAATTAGAGCCTAGGTTAATCAGAGACTAGGTCAACCAGAGCCTGGGTCAATCAGAGCCTAGGTCAATCAGAGCCTAGGTCAACCAGAGCATAGGTCAACCAGAGCCTAGGTCAATCAGAGACTAGGTCACCCAGAGCCTAGGTCAATCAGAGCCTAGGT